GGAGGTGGCATTTGAGCAAGTTTCTAACTTTCTCTGCTTTAGTTTCATACTCTTAAGATGAGACTTAAATTGATTCTTATCTCATTGGGTTGTTACCAGCATCAAATAAAACAGTTCAAGGGAGTGCTTAGTACAGTGCCTGTCATTTAGTAAGTCATCAATAAAGTTAACTATTGCTATTGCTATTTCATGGGCAGTGTTAGGTCAGGATCAAACATAGGGTTTTGAAGGTGCCCAGGCCTGGGTTCTGCTATTGATAGTTGTGTATGCTTCGCAAAGTTCTTGTATTGTGTTTTCAGCTCCATCAGTTCATTTATATTCTTTTCTAAACTGGTTATTCTAGTTGGCGGTTCTTGTAATCTTTTATCAGGGTTCTTAGTTTCCTTGCATTGGAGGTTAGAACACGCTCCTTTAGCTCAAAGGAGTTTGTTATTATCCACCCTCTGAGGCCTTCTTCTGTGAATTCATCAAACTCATTCTCTGCCCAGTTTTGTTCTCTGGCTGGTGAGGAGTTGTGATCCTTTGGAGAAGAGGCATTCTGCTTTTTGGAATTTTCAGCCTTTTGGTGCTGTTTTTTTCCTCGTCTTTGTGGGTTTGCCTACCGTTGGTCTTTGATGTTGGTCATCTTCGGATGGGGTTTTTGAGTGGTTGTCCTTTTTGTTGATGTTGATGCTATTGCTTCCTGTTTGTTAGTTTTCCTTCTAACAGTCAGGCGCTTCTTCTGCACGTCTGTTGGAGTTTGTGGGAGGTCCACTCCAGACCCTGTTTGCCTGGGTATCACCAGTGGAGGCTGCAGAACAGCAAAGATTGCTGCCTGCTCCTTCCTGGAAGCTTCATCCCAGAGGACCGGAGAGATACCAGCTGGAGCTCTCCTGTATGAGGTGTCTGTCGACCCCTGCTGGGAGGTGTCTCCCTGTCAGGCAGCACAGAGGTCAGGGACCCACTTGAGGAGGCAGTCAGTCCCTTGGCAGAGCTCAAGCACTGTGCTGAGATATCTGCTGCTCTCTTCAGAGCCAGTAGGCAGGAATGTTTAAGTCTGCTGAAACTTCACTCACAGCCGCCCCTTCCCCAGGCACTCTGTCTCAGGGAGATGGGAGTTTTATCTATTAGCCGCTAACTGGGGCTGCTGACTTTTTTTCAGAGATGCCCTGCCCATAGAGGAGGAATCTAGAGAGAGAGTCTGGCTACAGCAGCTTTGCTGAGCTGTGGTGGGCTCTGCCCAGTACGAACTTCCTGGTGGCTTTGTTTACACTGAGAGGGGAAAACTGCCTACTCAAGCCTCAGTAATGCTGGATGCCCCTCTCCCCACCAAGCTCAAGTGTCCCAGGTTGACTTCAGGCTGCTATGCTGGTAGCAAGAATTTCAAGGTGGTGGATCTTAGCTTGCTAGGCTTTGTGGCGGTGGATCCACTGAGGTAGACCACTTGGTTCCCTGGCTTTTGCCCCCTTTCCAAAGAAGACTTAAAGGATGACAAATGGGTTCTGTCTCAGAGGCATTCCAGGCACCACTGGGGTACAAAAAAAAAAAAAAAAAAAAAACTAAACCAAAAAAAACCTCCTGTAGCTAGCTTGGTGTCTGCCCAAATGGCCGTTCAGCTTTGTGTTTGAAACCCAGGGTCCTGGTGGTGTAGACACGTCAGGTAATCTCTTGGTCTATGGGTTGTGAAGATGGTGGGAAAAGCATAGTATCTGGGCTGGAATGAACCTTCCCTCAGGGGATGGCACCTCACGGGCTTCCCTTGGCTGGGGAAGGGAGTTCCCTGACCCCTTGCACTTCCTGGGTGAGGCAATGCCCCACCCTGCTTCTGCTTGCTTTCCATGGGCTGCACCCACTGTCTAACCAGTCCTAGTGAGATGAGCCAGGTACCTCAGTTGGAAATGCAGAAATCACCCACCTTCTGTGTTGGTCTCTCTGGGAGCTGCAGACCGGAGCTGTTCCTATTCGGCCATCTTGCCTGGGAATAAAGAGATATTTTTGAGTGTCTATGATGTTCTAGGCATTGGTAAGTGTAACGGATACAGAGATGCATGATATTTGGTGCCCGTCCTCAGTGGGCCTTAGTCTAATAGGGGAGACAGTTGCATAAACAAGTAAAACCGTGGAGTGCTACAAAAGCTATTTTAGCTGTCTAAGCAAATTCATCTCTGTAGTACAGAGAAGAGAGCAGGGCATTCTGTCTCTGTCTCTAGGGTTTGGGGAAGTTTAACATTGGACATTTGAGCCAGACCTTGAAGAAGGATAGGGGTTGGCCAGGTGAAGGACTTCCAGGCAGAGGGAACAGTAGGAACAAACAGAAGAACACAGCACATTAAGGGAGGGACTTAGGTGATCCATGTACTTTCCACAATTAGAGGCATACATTAGCCAGTGGAATTTTCCAGGATATTTTTATGTCAATGGTGATCTTACACAAGCAGTAACATGAGAGGCAGAAGGCAATAAGACATTGGAAAACAGAGGAAAGAGGTATTTAAAGGCCCACAAGGAAAAGGAGAAGTTGGACAATAGCCAGATATAGCAAAGAAGACTCAAAGGATGACAAATGGGTTTATATATTAAAAGAATTCCTGATGAGCTATTGCTTAAAAGAACCCAAGTCTCCATCAGTCATGGTCCTGGTGTTTGACTTATGATCTGAAAATAAATCTGTCATGTCCTAGTACAACTTGTGCTTTTGCTGAGGTTCCTGAGTGTGGGGCATTAGGTGGTTTGGTTGGCACTGCTCTGTGGTATTTTTTAATAACATTTCCCCTGACTGCCAACTTAATAGTACACTCTCCTGATTTAGAGTTTTTGTCAACACTTCTCTTTAGACTGTTTCTGAAAGCATCTTTTGAGAGTTCATGTTTTTGTCCTGCTGATTCACCACATTCACATCATTTCAACATCATCTTCTCAATTTCTGTGCAGGATTCTGAAACCAGCAAGTATTTTTCATGATTAATGTATACAATTTACCCAACAGGCATGTGTTGTTTGAGCTGTGTATTGTGCCCAGTGTTGGAGAAACAGAGATGAATAGGACATTGCCTTTGCCCTCAGGGAGCTTATAGTCTAATGGAAGAGACAAACATAAACCAGATTTTTATAAATGTAGGTGGTAAATGAATAATAAAAATAGTCACAGCGTATTACAGAAAAGACAAGGAAAGTCCCTGAGTTGGTGGAGGGAGAGCAGGAAAGTTATCCTGGGCAGGTGACATCTGAGCTGCGCCACAGAGGACTAGACATTAGTCAAGCAAAGGCGAATGAAGAGAGGATGCTCCAGGTGGGATAGGCACTTTATGAGTACAAGTAGGGCTAGGTAGTGACAAATGAAGATGAAGTCAGTGAAACAAGCAGAGATCTTGGAGGGCCATGAAAGTCAGCAGTTTGTTTCAGTTATTTATTTTTAGTAGATTTAGATTATGGACAGCCATAGCAAGATTCTGTGGTCAGAGTTACATTTTAGACACTTTGTTGGCTGTGAGAAAGATGCACCTGAGAGACACAATATAGATTAGGAAAACCCGATTAAAAGGCTATTACAATTCAAATGAGGGATTGTGAGGGGCAAGGGAGTGGAGAGGAGGACATCAATTTTGAGAAGTAGTAAGAAGGTGAAAGTAGGCAGGACGTGGTGACTAATTAAATATGGAGGTGAGGAAGACAGAAGCGTCCAACAAGATGCTCACGCTCAGATCCTACTTTAACATCTGTGAATGAAGCAGCTAACTACTCAGGTGAGGTATACACACGAGGTTAGGTCCTGGCTTGGAAGCCTGACCCGATTACTTAATAGTTGTGAACCCTGCCATAGTCGTTCAGCTTTTTGGGTCTCAGTTTCCCCTTTTGTAAGTTGAAATCGTAATAGTAGCTTCACAGAGTTTTAATGAAGATTAAATAAAGGATATGAAGGCATTTGTAAAGTTGAAAGAGCTAATCATACGTAAAATATTATTGCTCCGTGCTGCCTCTGTGATTTTGACCGATTGGATCTTGCATTTCTGTTTGTAGTTTGCAAAATAGTAACTTCATCCATTATCAATTATGAAGAAGACTAAATTTTGTAAATAGCATAAAGACTTTGAATTTGGGGGTAGGACAGGGTAGAAGCAAGAGAAGGGAAAGTGATACCTAACCATCTTTTGCCCTGTTTTAAGCAACAGTCCTGTTCTTCTTTTTAATTTAATAGCATTAAACTTAAAGAACACATTAGATTATAATCATATTGTAGCAGTGATTATATCATCAAATATGTAAAAGGACTGAGCAGTGCTGGATTCATAGTTTGTTCTTAACATTTTCTTCTATCTTTCTTCAGAAAAAAAAATTACTTTTAATCACCAATTGTCTGAGCTCCAAATTTCTGTAACGAAGAAAACTCAACAATGTATACAGGAAAGCAAGATCTAATGCTTTTTTTTCCCAACACCATCACTTTTGATTATTGGAGGTGTTTTTTTTTTTTTTTTTTTTTTTTACAAGGGAAGTAGCAGCATTTTGAAGTTTTTTGTCTTCTTATCAGGGGCTCTCAAATAATTGCCAATTTTACTAAGTGACTTAGGAGATTAATAGTTGTTCATTAAAAAAAATCAGTACTTGCTAATAGAGAGCAACAAGACTTGGAGAAAGTTGGCTTTAAAATGTGTTTTTCATGGACACAGAGGAGAACAACAGACACTGTGGCCTACTGGAGGGTAGAAGGTCAGAGGAGGGAGAAGATCAGGAAAAATAACTAATGTGTACTAGGCTTAATACCTGCATGATGAAATAATTTGTGTAACAACCCCAGTGACATGGGTTTACCTATATAACAAATCTGCACATGTACCCTTGACCTTACAAATAAAAAATGTGTTTTTAAAACTGTGGCTGATGTTGTAGAGGATTTGCTACACTTCAGACAAAATATTAAAGCCCTAGTAAAAACAGTTGACTCAGTAGGATCTGGAAATTGTTAATCCTCCCCAACTTTCCCCAGTTGGAACTTTTCACCACTTACCAGGCATTTAGCAGCTAAACAGAAACAGTTCTCTGATAGACACAAAGCTCTGGCTTAGACCAGATCTGCTTTTTCTCCCCATGGTTAAGGAAGAAAATACAGCATTCTGGTTTAAAAGAAAAGAACGAAGAGTTCTGAACATCTTTTGGAGCAAGCAGGTACTAACAGTTACGTCCAGAGTTGGGAAAAAGGTGACGTAATGTGTTTGTATATGTGTGAGGGGAGAGGACTCGCAGAGGAGGAGATGTTTAATTTGTTATATGAGAAAGAAAGTGTTATGGTACCTTACAAATGGGGGACCTGTTTTCAGTTTGGTCTCCTCTGCCAAAGGGTCTTCAAAACCCCTTCAATAGCTAAAGTTTAACAGCTGAGTCCAGAAACCAGATTATAGAGCTGAAAAGTAGACTACTCTAGACAACATGAATCTGGTGAGTAAACAGTGGCCTGGTTAGGTAGAGAGCCTCTGCATCTCAAAGGCTATTGGGTTTTCAAGCAAAAAGACAGACTGCAAAGTCAGGATATAAAGATTTAGCAAAATAAACTAGAGGTGCATATCCCTGCCAAGACAGAGCGATAGAACACACATGGGGCATCCAGGCCCATCCAGCACAGACACAACCCATCAGCTGTCCCCATGGAGGGTTTTCTCCTGCTTCTTAGAAAGGAGGAACTTGAGATAGGAAGGAATGTGTACTTAAGAGTATACATTAGGCTGGTTATGGTGGCTCACACCTGTAATCCCAGCACTTTGGGAGGCCAAGGCAGGCAGGTCACTTGAGGTCAAGAGGTCGAGACCAGCCTGGCCAACGTGGTGAAACTCTGTCTCCTCTAAAAATATAAAAATTAGCTGGGTGTGGTTGCACATACCTGTAATCCGAGATCCTCTGGAAGCTGAGGCATGAGAATCGCCTGAACCCAGGAGGCGGAGGCGGCAGTGGGCTGAGATCACATCCCTGCACCCCAGCCTGAGTGACACAGTGAGACTCCATCTTAAAAAAAAAAAAAGGTATATTTAATGTATTGTCTCAATAAGCTTTTTCTTACTAATTGCCCCAATACTTTTTCTCTATCCCATAAGTCCTAAATCAAAAAGAAAACTCTCTAAGTCACCCAAATTACAGCATACAGGGCAGTTGAATAGGCCAGTCTTTCCTTTGCAGAATTCCCTCATGAGGTGCTTTATTCATGTATGTTGCTGTGCAATCAAAGCACTGTTGTCCCCCTCTATAGAGGTGTGAATAAAACAATTTCTTACATACATCCTTCCAATCCTCCCACCCCACCCTATTTGTCTAGCCAGCTGCCCTTTTATTGAATAAGCTGTTCTTCAGCTCCTGAGAAATACCCACCTGTATCATATATGAAATTCTGATATGTAAGTAGTCTATTTGATGAACTCTTTCATCTCACTGATCTGATTTTTTACTTATACACCAATTCCAGTTTATTTTTTTAAACTTTAACTTTATAAAACATTTAAGCTGGTAGGGCTAGTATCTCTTGATGTCACTTGAGGTCAGGAGTTCAAGACCAGCCTGGCCAATATGGTGAAACCCCCGTCTCTACTAAAAAATACTAAAAATACAAAAATTAGCCAGGCATCATGGTACACACCTGTCATCCCAGCTATTGGGGAGGCTGAGGCAGGAGAATCACTTAAATCTGGGAGGCTGAGGTTGCAGTCAAGATGGCACCAGTCTAGGCGACAGAGTGAGAGTCTAAAAAAAAAAAAAACAAACCACTCTCTTTTGACCCCTCTTCTCCATTCTCCCCAGCCAGAATCCTCATTTCTAGCCAAATCGTTCTCCTTGTAATTATTCAATAAGTCCTGGTCCTCTTTGGCCATCCTGACCCCCACAGGCTGTTCCTATCTCTGAAGTCCTGAAGCATGTGTAGCAAATGTGTGTAATATTCACATGATCCATTTGCCACTAAGCCAACTGGATACAGTGATACCATCCTTTTTTTTCATCTACCCTCCTCTCTCCTTTTCCTCACCTCACCTGAGATACCTACATGTTTCAGGTGGTGTCTGCACTTTTTTTTTTTTTTTGAGACGCAGTCTTGCTCTATCACGTAGGCTGGAGTGCAGTGGTGCGATCTCAACCTTCGCCTCAAGTGATCCTCATGTCCCAGCCTCCTGAGTAGCTGGGATTATAGGAGCCTGCCACCATGCCCAGCTAATTTTGTATTTTTTAGTAGAAACAGCGTTTGACTATGTTAGCCAGGTGGTCTTGAACTCCTGACCTCAAATGATCCGCCCACCTTGGCCTTCCAAAGCACTGGGATTACAGTTGTGAGCCACTGTGCCCAGCCCTGCACTTTCTTCAACCCCTTATTATTGCTAACAATTATGCTTTCCCACCATACCCAGACTGTTCTCTGCTCTTACTGGGATATTTTACAAGTGAGGTTTGAAGTAAAAACTCAAACATTTCCAGTAGTGAAAATTATACTGAATGTTTGGTAGCATAGTATACCTGGCAACAAGCAGATTTGTTACTCCATTTACTTCCCCCACTTGCCTCTGGGAATATGCCCTTTGAGTGGATTGTGGGTGGCTGGCACCGTTTCAATTGTGATATTATTTGCTTTCTCACTTGTTGAGCCACACAGCTGTATTCTTGTCATCTAAATGCCCTAAAGATGCTATCACACCATACTTAAGTTCTTCCCATTTTCCTGGCCTTCCCAAGTCCCACCACCTCCTTGAAGCTTCGCAGATATTCCACAGGGAGCCTTCTCTTTTCAGGATCTCTCTGGCTTTGGAGCTGCTTTTTGGTCTTAGTAGGTACCAGTGTGGTGCTTGCACTTTTCAGAGCAACTCATGCACAAGGAGCATGGATTCTAGAGGGGTTTGAAACCTGATCCTGTCACCTACTAGCTGTGTGATCTTGGACAATTTGCCCCCAGATGTCTTATTTTCCTCATCTGTGAAATGGGTTTCTGCCTCACCAGATTCTTATAAAGATTACATGATTTAATATTTCTAAGTGCTTAAAACAGTGCCTAGCCCAAAGTAGGCATTATATGTTTTTTCAGGCTATATCCTTTCATCTAATATTGGGGTTCCTATTGAATGTAGGTAAAGAAGGAAGAAGAAAATAGTGTACAAGAGAGCTTACTATTAACCGAGACAAATAAATTGGTACCTTTTTTTTTCTCCAAAATGCAAAACCTGCTCCTTTCAATCATAATTTAAAAAACAATTCTCAATTTCCCTGACTCTTCACTGAAACTTCATAACTGATCTTCAGTGAAGATCACCTGTGAGATTCCTCTCAGTTACCACTAACTGTGATTAAAGTACTGATATTTTTATATTAATAACTATGGGGCTGAACTCTAAAGGACTTTCTTGATTAGGCATTGAAAAAAGACAAGCTTGCAGAAAATGAGTTAGCAACTTGGCAACCCCCCAGGGTGTTTTTCCAAAGGCAACTCTCAGGCAATGTGTTGAGCGAATGCTGTAAGACACCCACTTGTGTAAGCCCCACAGTCATCATCCGCTTGCTTAGTAGCTTCTTAAAATGTCCCCTGGTTATTTTATGAATTTGTTTTTCTGTAATAATGATGGTAACCTCCCCACGGTCAAAGGATTATGGTTGCTGAGACTTTGGAACCCCTGGCATGGAGCTAGAAATACTGCGCAGCTCAATAATCTCCTGCTGATAGATTTATTGTTCAGATGGGTAGGACCAAACAATGTTTAGATGCTGCCAAACCACAGTGGGAGAAATCCTATGAATAATAATAAAACTCCCCAGAATTCCTTGTCTACTCTGTCTTCATTGCTGCGACCCCCAACTAAGAACACTGATTCCAACCCAGTTCCTCTCATAATGAAGGGGAGTAAGACCCTTCTGTCTCCAGGAAGGAGACAGAAGTGAAAAGCTTGGATCATCCAGTTTAGAAGTTTATTGAGTGTTGAGTCCTTTTAGGAGAAAGCATGGTCTCCCTGAATCTTCCATTTGAAGGAGTTGAAAGGGAGAGTGACTACTATGACATTATTAGGCACCAGGGGGCAGGAGAGAAAAACTGTATGAATGGAACAGGTGCAACTTGAAAGGGTGGTGCCAATAAATGGCATAAGCGTGTGAAAATTTCCACCACAGTTTTTGGCACCTAGGAGGTAAGCTATATATGTTAGTTGACTCTGAAAGTTTAAACCCCCTTGAAAAATTATGTCTTAATTAAGTCATCTATGTTCATTATAGAAAAATTTAAAAAAGAAAACAGAGCAGCAGAACAACAAAGACATTTTTAATCACTCATAATCTCACCATCCCAAAATGAACTGTTCACATTTCTGTAGAGCACATTGTTTTCTATGCATGCACATCTTTCTCTCCAAATGTGATCACCATAAATTGTTATTCATGTTTCTCCATCATTTTAACTGGTAATATTTACTGTTTAGCTCAATATATGATTATGGGTAGAGGAAAAGTATACCCAGGGTTCTAGTTTTGGCTCAGACCTAGCCAGCCTCTGGCAAGCAGCTTGACCTCTCTAAGTTTTCACTTCCTCATCTGTGAAATAAAGAGGTTGATGCCTATCACCTCCTTCTACCTCCATAATTCTAACCATTGATGGGTCATTAAAAGAAGGTGGTATGGTGCAGTGGTTATTGCTCTGGCATCAGCCAGGCTCTAATCCCTGCTCTATCTGTGGGATCCTGAGCAGGTTTTTTCTTGCTTTCCTTTTTCTTTTCTTTTTGACAGAGTGTCACTCCGTCACTCAGGCTGGAGGGCAGTGGTGTAATCTTGGCTCACTGCAACCTCCACCTCCCGGGTTCAAGCGATTTTCCTGCCTCAGCCTCCAGAGTAGCTGAGAGTACAGGCATGCACCACCACGCCCAGCTAATTTTTGTATTTTTAGTAGAGACAGGGTTTCACCATGTTGGCCAGGCTAGTCTCGAACTCCTGGCCTCAAGTGATCTTCTGGACAGGTTTCCTGACCACTCAGTGTCTCCGTTTTCTTTTCTCTAAAATGGGATTAATAATTGGACATATCACATAGGGTTGTTGTGAGAACTGAATCGATAGCACACAGTGTTTTACACAGAGTAAAGGCTCAACAAGCAGCAGCTATTCTCAATATTTTAGCTCAGGCACCAGGTGTCCTGAGGTGATAGAGTAAAACCTCTATCTGAGAGATCAAGTAGAAACTTGGGAGCTAGCCAGGGTTCAACACAGGGGCTGGGTATTATGCTGAGTCTGTTCATTGGCACCATTACACATAAGGAAATTGAGGTTAGAACTTGCCTACATTTATGTAGCTAGTAAGTGTCAATCCAAAGACCTTCCAGCTCGTTTTGTTTGAGCTAAGGGGGCTAGAAGACCTGCCATGAGTTAGATATTCCAAAAATAAAACCCAGGCATAAAGTGCTTTTTCCAGTGATATTCAGCGTGATATTTTTTTCTTCACTCTAATAACTCCACTTTAACAATTCCACTGTTTGACAGTTGTTTAAAAGACACAGGAATTGTTGTATATTTTAATTGACTAATGGATATCTCAGTAAAGCAGAACTAGGACGTGGGAATAATTTAGACTTGACTTAGATAGACATTTAATTTTACAGCTGTAGATGATGGTCTAAAAAAATCCCCAAACTGAACAAAATGAAACCTTAGCGAAAGTGACTGACTCAGAAGACTCATGAAACATAACAGCGTGCTTTTTAAAATTGTATTTTAACATTTTGATTTCCACACCACTCCCAGAGGACCTCAGAATTGAGTGAGGGGTTTGGGTTGACTGCTGCCTCTGACAGGCTCTATGTGTGAAAATGGTCATTTCACTTTAGGCTTTAGTGTCCCCCTCAGGGGAGAAAATCGAAGAACAGACAGAAATACAAAGTGTCTTTTAATTAATTAAACCTCTGTGTTTTCTGGGGCTCGTATGCTTTCCTAACAACGTTTGTTAGATAAGTTGGTAATTCCTGGCAGCTGTCTACTGTGGGGTGCATCTGTGAACTCACCCTAACCAAAAAGCATGCAGCCAGTTTGGGGTCGCGCAAGCTAAGGCGAGGGAGGAACGCGGATACAGCGGGCAGTGAACAATATAAACATTTCAAATGCGATACATACACATTCGGACTGTGCCACATCTTCTGTGTGTAGATTCAACTGCACTGACCTATAAAGCCATTCGCGAGTAACAGCCGCCCCAAGCCTGAGGCACTGGCGCCCCTCCTGGGCGAGCTGGCTGCGCTCTCTCCTGGCCGGCGCCCGCTGCATGCGGTACGTGCCTGCCCGGCCCCTGGCCCAGGGTTCCCGTTCCGCAGCTGAGTCCAGCTGGCCCGGGAATCCCGGACCTTCCCGGGACGCCCAGCTCGCGCTCTGCACGTCCGGCCCGAGGCCGATCACGCTCCCGGGGCGAGGGCCCGTGCCCTCGCTGGGCGCTGGTTGGTCGCGCCATGGGGCCCGAGGCCCGGCGATTGGTCCCAGGGATCGGGTCACGTGCTTCGGAGCAGATAAGCGGCCTCTCGGCGCCCGGCCCTCATTCCGTCCCAGCGATCGCCGTGGGGGCAAGGCCGGTAGCTGGGGTTCAAATTTGTGCAGGCAGCGGGTGCTGGCTCTCACAGTCCGCCGCGCCTCTCTGCCTAATGAGCTGCACCAGGTAGGTCTGCTGCAACTCTGCGCGCCGGGAACACAAGGGGACGCGCAGTTGTGGGGAAGTTGGGGGGCGTTTCAGTTCTGTCATCTCTGAAAAGGGACACACCAGGGGAGGACAAGTGGACTGACTGCTTAGTTGAATCTGGCAACAGAGAGGCCTTGGAGGTATAGAAACTTGGCTCTATTTCTTAAGCAGAGCCTATTTTAGAAATCAGCAAATTAAAGCAGAAATGATCTTAACGTGAATCAGCTTGAGTTCGGATTTTCTTATGGATGCGGCTGTTCTTTTGGTCCTGCACAAATATCCCAAAGACTCGGGCAGCTAACGTGGCGAGAATAGCACTCTGACATTGCTGGTTAGGTGGTTTAGCTTGGAGGAAAAAATTTACAGGACGATGTTTGCAGTCATTCGTCCTTCTTATCACAGTTTGCCATAGCAAAATCTCAAGAGTTTGAGCAATTGATTATTTTTAACTCTTGTCCAGGACTTAAAGTTCCAGGGAAATCACCCAGTACTAAAACTGTCCTTCTATAAATGCAAAAAGTCAAAGAAAAAAAAAAAAAACCCTTCCATAAAACTACTTTAAATAGCTTCTCCAGACATAGCTTAGCAGAAGACTTCTCTAAAAATCCTGCCTATTAACTATTATTAGATCCACAAATATAGCTTTAGCTTTCATTTGTTTGTTCTAAGTTTGCAAGTCTCCCAGAAAAATCCCAGAGCTAATACAGTAAATTCTGTGTTCTTTATTACTTATTTTTGTGATAATGACCACTTACACACATGTTTAGAGCTGCTGTGAGGAGAGCTACTAAAGCCAGATTGAGAAATGTCATGTACAGCATACACACACCTCTTACTTGTAAGGCTAAGATAGGGAAAAAATCCTAATGCCATAAGCTTGGAAATATATAATGAGGACTAAAGGCCAGAAAAAAAGTCTTCTTTATGAACGCTTTTTGGTTTAATATTGTTGAGCACGGTCATGTTTAAAACTTTAAATAGCTTTATTGTCTTTCTACTTATAAATGCCTATTAGAAAATACCAAAAAAGAAAAAAAATGAAAATAGATCATCTATAATCCTATCACCCAGAGATAATAATTATTATTAGGAAAGGCATATTTCCTATAGAGTTTTTCAATATTTACAAGTTCATATATATAATGTATATCTTAAAACACTCCAACTTTCAGGTAATCAGTTTTTCCACTTAAATGTGGACTTGTCATGGGCATCTCTTTAGGTGAACTATCAATTACACACAGTTTTTAAGTGCATGAATTGTTGACTTGTATTTCAGTGGTTGTTTGTGAAAAATGAGGAAGAGCATGATAAAGTGCAAAGAGAATTATTCGACTTCTCTAGCCTTCTCACTCTCAAAACTGTTGCATGTTATTTTTGTTTCTTTTCAAGTGAATTACCAGAGAAGTGTCAATCAATTTAGCAGCGAAATAAACCAAAGCATCCAGAGGGAGGAGAGGGTCTGGAACTGTGGCTCCTGAACTTGTCTGGTTATTAGAATCACCTGGGAAGCTTTAAGAACATATGCATCCCTTGGCCCTAGTCCCAGAAGTTCTGCCTCAGTGGTTCTAAGTCCCAGGAAAAGGATGGAAAGAAGGAAGGAAGGGAAGGAAGGAAGGAAGGAAGGAATTCCCAGGAAAAGGAAGGAGGGAGGGAAGGAAGGGAGGAAGGGATTCCCTGAGGCATGAAGTCCCAGGAAAAGGAAGGAAGGAAGGAGGGAAGGAGAGAAAGAGGGAGAGAGGGAGGGAGGAGGGAACTTCCCTAGGCATGGTGACCAGACAGGTTTGAGGACCACTGGTCCAGAACAGAGCACATGATTCTTAAGGCTGCCTTGGAGATCATAAAATCGAACACTTTTGTTTCTCAGATGGGGAAACTGAGACCCCACCCCCCTCTAAGTGTTTTAAGCAATAACACTTAGTCAGCCTTTAGCCAGCCAAAGGTAGAGGTACACATAGAAAGAAGATCTGATCACTTAATACTGTTCTCTTTTACTGCATATGACAGCACCTGCCTGATACTAGTGCACTGGCTGTCATTCAGTTAGCACAAAAATAGTACATATGCATTTGGCACTGGGGAAGAGCACTTCCGATCCAGGTGATAATACCCCTTCCCTTTGCATTCCAGAATGATCCAGGTTTTAGATCCACGTCCTTTGACAAGTTCAGTCATGCCAGTGGATGTGGCCATGAGGCTTTGCTTGGCTCATTCACCACCCGTGAAGAGTTTCCTGGGCCCTTACAATGACTTTCAACGAAGACATTTTGTGAGTAAATTAAAGCCTCTGAAACCATGTCTCAACATAAAACAGGAAACCAAATCACCGAATGACTGGAAGTGTTCACACAACCAAGCCAAGAAGCGCGTTGTGTTTGCTGACTCCAAGGGCCTCTCTCTCACTGCGATCCATGTCTTCTCTGACATCCCAGAAGAACCAGCATGGGATCTCCAGTTTGATCTCTTGGACCTTAATGATATCTCCTCTGGCTTAAAACTCCACGAGGAGAAAAACTTGATTTTAGATTTCCCTCAGCCTTCAGCTGATTACCTAAGTTTCCGGAACCACTTTCAGAAGAACTTTGTCTGTCTGGAGAACTGCTCTTTGCAAGAGCGAACAGTGACAGGGACGGTAAAAGTCAAAAACGTGAGCTTTGAGAAGAAAGTTCAGGTCCGTATCACTTTTGATTCTTGGAAAAGCTACACTGACGTGGACTGTGTCTATATGAAAAATGTGTATGGTGGCTCAGATAGTGATACCTTCTCATTTGCCATTGACTTACCCACTGTCATTCCAACTGAGCAGAGAATTGAGTTCTGCATCTCTTACCATGCTAATGGGCAAGTCTTTTGGGACAACAATGATGGTCAGAATTATAGAATTGTCCATGTTCAGTGGAAGCCTGATGGGGTGCAGACACAGATGGCACCTCAGGACTGTGCCTTCCACCAGACGTCTCCTAAAACAGAGTTAGAGTCAACAATCTTTGGCAGTCCGAGGCTGGCTAGTGGTCTCTTCCCAGAGTGGCAGAGCTGGGGGAGAATGGAGAACTTGGCCTCTTATCGATGAATTAAGCAACAATGTGACTGGTCTTGACTTGTCATATCCCCCCATGCAATCCTAGGTCTGTATTGCTCAATGTTAGGAAGCCTTTGCTACTCCATCAGTAGGTTTAGATCTGAGCTTTTGAGACCTGGCTATGGAAAAGAAAGCCACGTGAGAATTTGGTGTTGGGGTCTATACAGATGATGCTACTCAATTGGGGTTTGGAGGATCAAGTAGCAGGTTGAAAACTATTTTTATAAAGGTAATCCTTTTTCAGTGCCCTTCCTCCTTCCCTCTCAATCCACTAGCTTTCATGTTGGGCAAGGAAAAGTTGAGGGAGAATGGCCGATGGTGATGGAAAGCTGTGTTAATGGTATGAGGAATGTGTGAAAAGTATACACAAAAGGCTCTGAAGCTCAAGTCAGAGGAGTGGGAGGTCTGATCATTGTTGTTGGAAAAAATGTAAGGTTATTTTGTGTTTTTAAGTTGGTTTTACAGTTCTCTCCTGGGGAAATTATTTGTGGAGGGGAAAAAGATCCATTCTATGTGTCCTTGTGGAGAAAAGTCAAATAACCTTTAAGAGTGTGGGTGGTATTGAAGGAAGAAGATGAATTACAGCTCTGAAGATCAAGATCTTAAGTGAAGCCTTTCTGTTCAGATGTTATCTATAAAAAAATCATAATTTGGGGAAAGTTTAAGCAAATCCAGCTTTGCAGTCCTAATGTTATAAGTGACTTTGTGGTCAAAACATCATGCTTGGGTTCTTGTTATTGAATGCTTGGAACAGCAAAACCATGCCATCATCAATGGCTAACAATACATAGGGACTTCATGTCATGTCAAAGATAGCTCTTTGCAAGTGCCTTGACTAAACCAGAAAACTGTCATTGCTTAACCCAAATGTTGAAATGGTCATCTGATAACTCATGAGATTTTGGCCTCATAAAAAGGTCCACTCTGTACACAGGCATTCCTCCTACAATAATGTTGTATCTTTGAGACTGTTGTCACTGTACACAACTCACATCCTTCATATTGAAGGTGAGTCATTTTTCTGCACACTTTTGATGTGACGTTCGACGTGAGGCCCGACACTAAGATTCTCAATGCAAGAATCCAGTACCTTGCACGTAGAAGTAGCAACCCATCGCTTGCCTATTTTCATCTCGCTGTTTTCTTTTAAGAAAAATGGATGTGACTTGTTTTGAATGTGTTGTATTATACTTGTTTTTGAGTGTGCAGAAATCCATTCTGTAGGATCTTAAGAAAAGCAGTCCCAGAATGTTGCTTCTATTTTTGTGCACGTCATTGAGAG